CAGGTGGGGTGGCTGGAGGGAAATGCATCAGGAGTTCGAGGTTGCTCCAGTGCCTGGGTCTGAGAAAGCCAGAGCTACACCCACACCATTAAAGATGCTCAGCCTTGCTTGAGTTGCTCTGCATGACTTGTGAAATTCTGCAATGTTTTTCAGGCATTTCATCATCCCAAATTCATACCAATAAAACCTACCTACCATGTCACATTATAAAGAGTTTGTGGAGAGGTCTGTTTTGGTTTGGGTTTGTTTTTTTTTTTTAATAATTGGAATGGCCTAAAGTGTGCCTCTCCTGTGCTACAGCTGCCTACTGCCAACTTCACTCCTTCTGAGTCAGCTGATGGAGAGTGGCACATTGTAAAGTAACTCTGGAGCAGAGCAGCAAGGTCAGGCTCAGTGACAGAGCAGCAACACCCTGGCGCACTGTCAGGACTCCAGCCTTAATCCATCCCCTGGGACAAGACACTTAGCTGAAGTACAGGTGACTCTTAAGTTTGAGCCAGGGCCAAATTTCAGGTGTACCATGAGGTAACATTCAGTGTAACAGCACCGGGTTGACTGGAAGTAGCAGTTGGTGTCTTGAATGTGGTAAATTCACAGTACTGCAGCAACGTACACAGCCAACAAGCCCAGGGGCAACAGCCAGCTCAGAGGCCATAGTGTATTAACATATGATGAAGCATAAATTGTGTACGTCAGGTATGTATCTCTCTAGAGCCAGCTATAGCAATTACTCTAAACTTTCTTAAAAATGAAAATACTACCACTTTGATAGCTCAGACTGCATCTGGGCTACGGAAGAGGAGTTAAAAAACTGAGAATCTCCCAACTTCTAGTGAAATTTACTGTCTGTGGTTAGATTCACATTTAAGCACTAGCAGCCTTACTTTGCCACTGGGATGGAAAGTAGTTGTGAGTCCAATGTAACCAATCAGTTCAGCTGTAAACCAGCTTAACCTGGTGGCTATGAAGCCGGGGAGGACTGCAGCAAGCAAAAGTTGTCAGTGATAGCCTAAGTATGACAGAAACACTTTACACTCCAATTATTCCTAGCTAAAACAGTAGTCCAATTAAAGGTCTTGCTAGTTAATTGCTAAGGAAAGGCATTTTTAATTACATAAGGTGCTGGACCAGAATCCAGGCTTGCCTAAGGTTGGCAGAGACATCTCTACCCTGCTGTACTGTCTCTATTCATTCACCAGCAGCAGGTCTGGCCTGTAAAGCACAAACACAATTAGATTCCTAAATCTTGGCTCCCATTACAACTTGTCTGTGACATGCTGAAAAATAATTTTCATCTTTTATAGATTAAGTGATCATAAATCAGCCAGGAACATGCATATACAAGTTATCCAAAGGCAAAAAATAACCCTTACCATACAATCACTCAGCTTTTAGCCTACGTTGTCCCTTCAATCCCTACATGATCAGAAAGATCCCTTTGTGTCAATGTTTTGTGAAAACTTTAGTCACTCTCCTCCCATTATCTTTTCTTTGCCTCCCTATCTCTTTTCAAGTCATCAACAACTTTGGGCTGCACTTCATAGATGGATCCCCTTTTCTCCTGCAAGTTTTAGGGTACCCTGAGCAATATCATCAGTAGAAGAAAGTGTAAGTCCCTGAAATTGCTGTGACAAAATCATTTTGGTATAGTGGTGTCAATTAAAAAAAAATATCTCCTCTTTCCTCTTCCAAGCGCTTTGCAAATGAGGTGATCTAGCTGGGAGAGGATCTATCCCTTAAAAGATAATATTTCAGAATATGTACTTTTTAAAGTCAAACAACAAAACGCATTACCTGGTTGGGATCCTGAAGTCTACATTGGGTCCCAATTTATAAGCCACTTGTAGAGGAGTAGAACCCACTACTCTCTGGATAATTCCTTGGGAAGCAGCTTTTTCTATTTGGAACTGAGAAATCAGGTCAAAGCCTATGAGAAAAAATATGTCCAGAATGTAGGGATCGTTTTAATTTAATTAGGCAATGGTGCAGTCACAGAGCTGAATATAACCTGATAAATCTTCTGAATAGCAGCTTTTTCCTGAAAAACTCAGGATGCTACTTGCCTGGTAAGTCATCTTGGCCAATCCTGATTGTCGGGCAGAGATCACTTCTCTGACTGGCACCCAGAATGACTGGTAGCCCTGCAAAAGAAAGGTGAATTTATTAACCATGTGCCTGCACATTGCCTCAGATCACCTTAAAAAATGAAGTGAAGCAACTGTAAGCATATTATTAGTTAAATAGAGCTATAAATAATAATAATTATATATAATATAATTTAAACTGTATTCAGTGAAGTCAGAGATCTAAGAAAATAAGCATCTGTTTCTACAGAGCTCCAAATTTAAAATTATAACCTGATTATTTAATTATTTTTTAAAGCCTTTAAATGAGAGTATTACAATAATTCTTTTCTTGCAGACTATGGAGAAATAGTTGTAGCACAAGAAGGCCTGCTGTGTAAGGAATTTTTGGTTTGGAACTTTTGGTGGTTTAAGCAAACTTTAAAAAAAAAAAAAAAAATAGCCAGTTACCTAAATCAACAACTTCCCTAGTCCCAAGGAAACTTAAACAAACCTCATGCCAACTAAAGAGGTTTTTGGGAAGCTGTTGGCATCTTTTCCATCCTTGCTGGTATTCCAGAAGTTCCCACTTTCCTCTGTACCACATTTGATCAGAGCATGATCATTCATGAAACATAGGGTGGGGGCAAGAAGAATTTACAGACTTTTTTTGTTTACCCAAACATGAATGTAGAACAAATTTCTTTGAAGTAACCAAATTCTAAAACCTAATTTTTCAGAATAGTATCTGTGAAAAAGACTTATAATGAGCCTAAAAACCTACCATATTCCCTAATTTAAGAAGGAAGGAAGGAAAAATAAACATTTATTTGAAGAGTTTAAGAGTCATGTACAAGTCTAGTATCAGGTCAATCTGGAAACTGTTAGTAGAGTCTGGATGGGGAAGAATGATGTGTGCAAGTTGGAAGGAGATGCATTTCTAAGCTACAGAGAGCCTCTTGTGTGCTGCAAAAGCTCAACCACAAACGTGGTTTTCCTTCTGACAACATAGACTTAAAGGGAACATTCAGTCTGACATGTTACACCTTAGAAACGGCCTCATTCTATATTATTTGATGAGACATATGGCTGACATCCAGCCATTTACATTTTATGCCCAGCAAATAAAGTAGAACCTGTTTGTTGCCACACATAGCCGAATATCTAACTAAAACCACTGAAAGATGAGGGGACGTTTGTGCCGTGTATCTATCACTTATATCCAGATTTTAATTCTTACCTTCAAAATACATCTAATAGCAAGTTTGGAATAATACACACAGCTGTTGCTTTTCCCCCTCTTCCTCACATACATACAGACACACATAGACAGTTCTCCATTTCTGTGATGGCTAGCTAGAGAGGATTTAAATTTTGAATAAGCTCAGAATAATTCGTTTGACAGTCCAAATTACAGAAAGATGAAAAACAGATAAAAATCTGTCTCCTTACTTGATTGGTGCTGAATGGTGGCTGAGATGAAAGTCCACAGAAAACTACACACGTAGAAGAAAGCCGTAATTTTCCTGTAAACAGAAAGAAAACTTCAGTATGAACCTGTAGTTTCTGACAGATTCTGTTACTGACTTTCTCCTTTGAGCCATGCATATTAAATGTATAAAATCACGAGTTAAGGATTTACTAACAGTTTTGACATGACAATTTCTTTACATGAGAACGTTTTATCTTTGCCTTATAATAAAACAGGTCAATAAAGATCTTTCTATTACCATTTTCTCCATGTAATGTTGTCATAAAAACCAAACAACAACGGCAGCAGCTGCAAGGACAGCTTTAACTGTTCTAATCTCTTATTTACAGATTTCTCTAAATCCCAGTTGTTCCCTTACCAGTCGCTTTTCATCTTCACTGCTGGCTTTCTTCACCTCTCTCATGTGAATAGGTGGTGTGTATAGTCAGGCTCCCTGCTTCCCCCTCATGAGTCCTGCAGAGGAGAGCAGCAATGGGGGCAGACGGCTCCTCCTGCCCCACGCAGGACCCAGCAGGGAGGGAGGTGCAGGTGACTGGGTCTGCTTTTATCTTATGAAGGCCAGGAGGTGGAGGCTGGACAGACACGTGAGTCCTGGTGGGCTCTGAAGGGGGAATCTCTGGAACCAGCTGAATATAAAGAAGCCCAGAGAGCAAAGAAAAGGCTGCTGCTTGTGCCAGCATCAGGGCAGGGAGATTAAGAAAATGTGAGTTCAGCAATGCCAGATACTGAATGGTGGGGTCTGCTGTTCAGACCTGATGTGGTAAGGCTAAAAGCTTTGAGAACAAGGTAACTCCAGTCCTATAAAGAAGGCATTTCCATTTCTCACTTATTTACTCTATCTGGTGGTGTCCCAGTTAGTTCTTCTGAATAAAATGAATTATATAAAAGGGTTTTTATTGCTTAAATTCAAACCTTTTCAAGGAACACACATAAACAATGCTAAGCAGACCCCTGTTCTTCCATAAAAGCACTCACTTTCCATAGAGTATTACACGTTTGAATATGATTATTCGTATTTGTGCTCATGGATGTAAAAAGGGAGGGACTAAAATCTATATGCATGAAAAGACCAGGGAAAAGAGGTGAACAGCCAGAAGGTCCTGATAGTTATCAGAGTCAAAATTCATATATGTATGGAAAAGTATGCTAGGTTGTGCTAATATATCAAATTTGTAAGGTTTCATCTTCTCTAGATTTTTACTAGTCTAAGGCAGTTTAAATTTCCTTTTTCTTTTTATTTTTTAAAGTGTGGAATGCAGCAAATGATCTGCTGTCTGCTGAGAGTCTGCAGCAATAACTAAATAATGAACTACTTCATTCATGTCAATTTGCCATAATTCACATTCCCAGTATTGGAAATTCCAATACTACTGTTGTTCACACTTTCATGTCTGTTGATAGAAAGGGAGGGTCTGGATCATGGATGTGAACAGTTTGCCATGAATAATGTCTCATTTTAATGCCTAAGCAAGCACATCCTGTGTGATACCACTTTTTCCCCCTTCAACAGAAGAGTGTGCTCAGGGAGCCTTGAAGAACAATGGTGAACATCTGATACCTGAGCTAGAACTGGCACACGAAACCATGAACATTAAAGAAAATTTTAAGATGGAGAAATAGTAATCTGATTTCACAATAAGTTTGCCCAAGTCACTGCATAGCTCAGCCACTTACCCCCATGCAAGTATTACCATTTTGTCATGAAGCAATATCTGTAGGGCAAAAGAGGAGTCTAGAAGGAGCAGGAGTGACAGCGGGATATGGAAGTCACCTAAAGCAATAAAGAAGGGGAAGGGCATGGAAATGTGGCATGGGAAGGAACAAGAGAGAGCACCTGGAGCTTAAAAGGAGTACCAGAAGGTTTGTGAAGGAATAGAAAAGAGGCAGGTGCCAATTCATCTCTTTTGTCTTATATTTGTTGTGGCATGAAGTTTTGCCTTTGAGACTGCTTAGTATTTCCAATTTATTTATGGCAGCATTAAGGAAGAAAAAGCCATTCCAGTGATTAGATATTAAACTAAGTGGTACCATCTTTGGGTATATTAGCAAATATGTTTTGCCACATGACATGAGTATATCTGCCATTGCTTGTGTCTGCCACACATATTATCCTCTCCAAAGAGGGAGAGCCTTGTTCAGAGAAATTTGGAGAAAACGTACTCTGTTTCTGAACAATCTATAAAGTATTTTTCATTTGCATTTCATTGCAGCAGTTCTCATGGGTGGAAATTTTTTTATGCCTGGAGTATTTTCCCAGTCCATGATATTCAAAAGCCATGCTTGCTGAAATAAAACATGGGAGACACTATGTAACTAACCTTTGGAAAACTCATTCACTGTTCTATTTGTGGGCAATGGAAAAATTCTTTAGAAGACACTAATATGCTCTGGTTGTCCTATGTGCATTTTGATGTCTTTGTCTTGAAACAACACTCACAATCTATGACGAAATTTCTGAGTAGATGTTCTACTAATAATTATCACATCATCTTCAAGAATCCTGACAAATGTTAGAAGACAAACTAGTGGTAGCTGATTTATTAGCCACATGATCTAGTCCCTATTATTACCATCTTATGCAAATGTAAACTGAGATGGATGGAGTAGGTATCTCACATATCTTGCTAAGGGTCACAGAGACAGCCCCCATCTGAATACTGCTCATGTTTAGATAAACTGACTATTTTGATGTATCTCTAGGTCACTTTGTGTTTTTCTCTTTTTATGAATTGGGCTTTTTTTTTTTTTCAGATTTTTTTTTCAATTTTTTTTTTTTTTCCAGAAAATCTCAGTGCACAGTGATTGCTGTTTAGCCATTTGCTCAGGGATCTATCATCTTAGCATGAATTACTCAGCTATTGAAAGTAAATTAATTAAACACCGTGGAACATGATTCTCCAAAAGATCTCTGCTCTTCAGATGAGGTGTGGTAACTTTGTTCACATAGTATCTTCTGAAAACAAGCTACATAGGAACATCATCACCTTGATAGCATTTTGAAGTATGCATACACATATGACTTCACATTCCTCAAACATCTGATGCCATATTCCTGTTCTTCTGTGTAGCTTGGGTTGGATAACATGTATTCATTTGGCTGTCTGGTAAGACTGCAGCTGGATTGGAGGTAAATAAATAAATCAGGTGGACTCATCTTCTCTTGCAGATATAAATCTATATCTCTATGATGAAAAAGGTTGTAGTTAGATGGCTGTAGTTAGGTTTTCAGAAGGTGTAATCCAGCACAAACCACAGAAACCAATGTTTGGCTCAGAAGGAGAAAATAAGTGTGGCAGAGAAGAAGGTTCCTCAGTTCAGGCTTGGGCTGACAGCAGTTTAAGGATGGTTACATTAAGCCACCTCCTGATATTAATTGTTTGACTGGACTCAAAGGAGCTCAATGTCACTGGCTTGTACTTTCAAGCAAGATCTTTAGGAGGGACTAGGCAAGTTTGTTCTTCTGAAAAGTATTTGTGGCATATATACAGGCACTGAGGGATCAGGAACAGGCTTGGGACTGGAGGAACAAAAGTCCTGTTTGCTGTGTTGAAGTGGAGCCTCTGCCCCTGTGAGGTCTCACAAAGGAGCAGCGGTTGGTGCCCCCAGCCCTACACAACTCTTCCACACACAGCTGGAGAGGAGCAGCACGGAAGATTGGAGGGACATTGCTTCTTATTTATCTCTTATCTCCTGGAAACTTACTTCTGTCTCTTGTGGTCTTCTCTAAATAGTGCCTTCAGACTTTTCGATTAACATTGAATTCTTACAGCCACATTCTCTGTTCAGTTTACAATATCAAAAATCTGCTTTATACATTTCAACCTTCCTTATCCTTACCTATGGTACAAAGGTTGCTGCTCTCTTTGTAGTGTAGTGTAGCAGACTCCAGGATAAGAAGGTACCTCTGGCTTAACTTGGGTGAGTTTGTCGTTACATTGCATTTGGCTCTGATAGCTCAAGATCAACTGCGTGTGGCTGTGAGTGGTGGTGTTTCTGAAAGAGCTGCTCTTTTTTAATGACTCGAAGAGTAATGACAACTTGGACCTGTGACTGATCTCATTGACATCAGGGGCAAAACTTGCACTGACTTAAGCACCTTTTAATTAAACCAGCATCCACAAGTGTAGAGTAATTGAATTGACAGCAAAACTATAATGCTTGTCAGGGTCCAACACATCATTGGAATTTAACAAATAATTTATTATCCAATAAATTCTTACCTTCATCATACAAAAGTACTTTTCTGTCCAAAGTTTTATGAATTTTGGCATGGGAAGAAAAACAGCTTTTCTTTCCAAGCTGTCAGATGCTATTTTCTATAAAGAACAAACAACTTCTTTCTGGCTGAGGTCACTCAAAGAAACCTGGGAGTACATGGGGCCAGATTCTTATCTCCTCAGCACTCTCTC